TCTGACACTGTGGCTACGCCGAACGCACTTCGAACAACCCACAGAGCGCTGGAACGGCGTCCTCTAAAGCGCAAAGGACGTCCTCAACATCTCGTCGGACTTCGCAGTTTAGAAATGAGAACAATGTCTCGTCTTCGTGATCCAGTGGAATACGTCTCCAAAGCAAAACATCGATGGGCTGATCATATGATGAGAAAGACGGACGACAGATGGACACTAAGAACTCTGGAATGGATTCCTCGCGAAGCAAAACGTGGCCACCAAACAGATGAGCTGACATGTTCGTGGCAGATGGAGCAGCTGAATTCTGAGCTGGTAACGAATAATGGATTATTGCGAACCCGTCGTACCTTAATACCAACATCGTGGATGACGCTAGCGAGAAACAGAATTGGATGGAAACAATGCTGGGGCTGCAGGACGACCGAAGACAGGCATCTAAGTATCTAAGTAAGTAACTAAGCAATACGCTTTGTTTCAGCAGAAAGCAAGCTGGTAATTAATGTTGACGACGGTAACCACCGGTTTGTTTAAGTGGTGGCCATTTTACTGTTTGCTCCAAACCCATGAGTGCATAGCACTTACGGTGCAATCAGAAAGAATGTAAACCAACCTTGTCCCAAATTTTTGGAGTATCTGATGGTCGATAAAATCTTTTTATCAAAAAGACAGCGTTACGCAGATTTGTTCCTTCAATTTCCTCATTGAGCTTTCCGTAGTTTGAAGCGTAGTATAAGTCAAATAAAGGCTCCCAATCCAATAGCAGATCTTTGTAACCAAAGTAACATTTGCTGGAAAGGCTTTGCGGTATTCTAAAACTTCTGAAATCTAATGCTTGACCCACTTCGCCAGGTCCTCTAGAGTTTTAGCTGTATAGGCAACGATATCATGCCACTGGTGTTTTCTCACAAGTATGAGGTAAAGCAGTTCAATTAGCTGAAGGTGATCCTCTCTAGAGAAGCGAAATCCATAGACTGAGAGATACCTAAGATGGTTATGCAATGGTTGACCATAATTATAGATATTCCTCTAAAAATGCCCCATGGGTGCTAATTGTTCACAATGGCGCAGACATGCAACGTACGATGGCCTCTGCGGAGCAGTTTCAGATCAGTGGAACGAGGTTGACCGCGTTGCATGGTCGCAATGCGGACAATACAGCAGCAAGTGTCAATTTGGAGGAAGTGAGTATTTTATTAGATACTTACGTTTTAAGAGCGAATATAAAGTTCCTTAGTGCTGGTCGTTGCTCGTTAACAAGAACTGCTGTTACAATTCCGTGTTTTATGTGATCAAATCGAGCGTCCAATTCACAGGTGAGTTCCTCATGATACGGTAACAGGACAAGATTCTTTTCATGGCGTCCATACTTGCGGTCGTTTTCTCGTTTTATTCCAGAGACTGTGTCCACGACAACATAAGATGTCTGCAAAGTTCCATCTCGACGTAGTCACTGGAGACATAAGAGCGCTTCACTAACCATCAGCTCCGAATTGCGAAGTGGTTTGACTGATTCGTAATGAGTTTTCTCGACCTTTTAAACCTCAGTGCTTTCTATCAAGTGATGATAAGGTCAGATCTAAACTGGAGTGCATTCATGCCAGAAGCAGCTTACATTTAGAAGCGGTGGTTATTTGTGCTAGATTATCTCATAAAAAACGTACTAGAAGATTTTTTAGCGAAAAAAACGATGTTGGTCAGCAATATTCTTTTATTGAATTACCTACCGAAGGTAGTATGCTTAAAAAAGGGGGTTTGTCGATTTACTAATGTAATATGAGCGACCTGCGGATACAACTGTTTAGTATAAGTGTAAACATTTCTTACCCTTCTCCTGCCCGCCTTGAAGAATAAAGGGTGGAAATGCTTTGCCTGCAAAAAAAAATGGATTTTTTACGAAAGTATGGAAAACCATCACTAAACACTATCATTAAATTGAATTTGCTCCATGTTATCGTCGCAAAAGGGTGCTTCTACATGTTGCACTGCGAATAGTGGAGGTCGATCATTCGTTAAGGTTGCCCAAGCTATAAAGAAATTCGACTTTGCAAGCAGTTGAAATTCAGGTTAATGTAGACCAACATGCCACTCTTAAGGCCATTGCTACTGACGGATATTTAAGTTGCAAGAAAACGAAACTCTATCTGTGAATCATCGTCGGCTGTTTGTGTTACCTAACTTCCGAATGCCCTAGGCACGCTGCCGAGTGGAGAAAATCTGGGGTGAAAGG